AATATACAAGGGGAAGAATTTTCAAGAATAATTGAGAACAAGGGATTCCTTTAGCGCGCGACTCGATCCATTGCGGGCTCGGAATACCCTATAAAGCGCCAAATCCATTGTCCAAATAGTTTTGTACTGTATCATAAAACATAAAGAATAAGAAGACATAAAGAAGTGACAACATTATCATCAGTGCAATATTCGATTAGAGAGTCACACGCTTTCTTTGAAAACATACAAACATATAAACAGGTTTATCCGCCTAAGTAGCCGAAGGCGAGGAATCTCGACTAGCAGCTCAATGATAGTGGGTTCAAAGCTCAGGTGCGGTAGATTTTTTAATAAAAGCCGATAGCCTTAGATGCTAGTGCTTTTAAGAGCTTAGTCTTAGAATTCATTTCTCTGGCGAAATTAATAATAATAATAGTAATAATAACGTCTATTAAGTCTTTGTTGGGCTAAATAGTTATCAACTAAAGTAATAATTGAAAAAATAGCTGGGGCTGCCCTATGGTGTATTATGACTTTTATATTTTCGCATTGTTGAACGCTTTTGTTTTTTGTGCGAAATTTCATATTTTCGCAATGACTTTTAATTACCATGTGTGTTGTAATAAATACTTTGGTTTTTTTTTTTTTTTGTTTTTTTTTTAATAAAAATATTAAATATATTTTTAATTTAATATAATTGATCATTATAATTGTAAATATTTTAGAGAAACCTTTGTTTTGTTTTTTATGATATTTTACAACTACTCTTCACAATGAATTTTCATCATTTACTATCCGTTTCTATTTTGCGGGCATAAATATCTCATTAATTATGTGAAGAGAAGTTGGGCATTGCCTCGGTTAGCACTTACCTAGCCGATTTCTCATCCCTTAAAAAACATTTGTCACATTTTTTAATTAAACACAAATTTTAAATAAAAGGGGGAACACGTAATCAAAGTAAGTAAGAAGAAAAAAAACACATGCATTTTATCTCCCTCGTTATTACGTAAGCATTCAGATAGGGACTAGAAACATAAATCAAAAGAAAAATGCCGCTTTAAATGACATAGGCATGCGTTTTCTTTATTTTTATTTTATTTATTTTTTATTTTATTAAAAAGTAAGCAGTAAGCATTACAAAGTAACAGCGAGAGGGAATTGTGTGTTTATGTAAACTGTTGTTGTGTGTAGGCATAACCGCTTTAGAAAAATCACTTAAATGCTAAGCAGCCAACCAACACCCACTCTTTCAGCAAAATCACATACTGTAAGTATAAGTATACGTGATTATGTGTTCGTTTATATGGCGATGGGAAAGGGAGTCTTTTATCCTAAATAGGTTCCGTCGTCGTCATCATACCCTTTTTGGAATTTTTCCGCCTCCCCGCATTGCTAACACTTTCCGCTATTAAATCTTCGCATACGACAGACTGTGATTAAGTACAACTTCCTCTTTAGACAGTAATAGCAACAAAGTCAAGCTGCTTTTAAGAAGATAGGCAAGTGTAAGAAGAAAACTAGTAACAACAAAAACCAAAAAAATAAAAAATAAAAAAAAAAAAGTTAATTAAATTGTAGAACTCAACTCTCTAATCTCATAATTCATGCTAGCAATCTGTGTGTAAGTAAACATACAAGCGACATTAAACGTTTACCGTACTAATGTGTGCGTTACTTTAGACTTGAGAGAAGTGGTCTATGTTAGTTAGTTATTGTAAGCTTATAAATATATATATATATATATATATATCCATATTTATACAAGCTTATACGGTAGCCCAATAGAGTCTACATACAGTACGAAACATTTAACATATCTCTTCTTAAAGACTGCATTTATGGGTTGAGGGTTAAAAAACATATATTTCTTAAGAAATAAAAACTTGTACTAAATAACAATTCAAGATTTTTTTTTTTTTTTTTTTTTTTTTTTTTTTTGATTCAAGATAAAGTTACAAACAAAAGGTACACTTTATAAAAAAATGTGTGTGTAAACAAAATATCATTTTACAGGTAATAAACTACCTATGCTATCTGTGGATACAATTAAAAAAGTAATATATTGTTGGACCACCTTCTTCAGCATCGACATCTTGGCATTGAAGAATCTAATTTTTCTATTATATCTGCATGAATTTTGTTCCCAAGTAAAGCTTTCTTCAATGGTAGAAATTTTATGTTTTCGAACCCACTCACTCAGTTCATGCCATATGTCCGATGAATGTGGCGGAGAATGTAAGTGTTTGTAAGGGAGCGTTTTAAAGTAGCCACTCCTTTGCAATGATAAATGCATATTCCGGAACATTTACCCGAAACACATATTTCACTTCAAAGTGACTTTCAAAAGATTCACATAAATGTGACGATCCATTTTTAGAGTCAATAATGACCAGGACCCTCTACCGTGCTTTACAGTTAGTAATAAATTTTAAGTTGGCATTGCTATATTAGGCTACCCTCAACCCCCCCCCCCCCCCCCCCCCTCTTCACCATCGTAACCGAATAAATTAAACTTGGACTCGTCAATAAAAGTCACGTTTCTCCAATGGTTTATATCATCGTTTTGAGGGAGTCTCTGCAATTCGAGGCGTTTTGAGCGAATACCGCCTTAAAGCATTTCGAACGGCATCAGGATGAATACTAATTTGCTTATATATTTCTCTAGTCTTGGGTTGATTTGTTTCAATTCTGGCAATATATCGTTTTTCACATCCTGTAAGGTGGCCCGAGCGGTGCTGATTTTCTATGGTATTTGTGTTGTTGTTATTTTTTTTGTAGTAGTCTAAACAGTGGCACTATTAATTAACACACTTCCATATACTTCTATATATTTTCCTTATATGAATACTTTTTTCGATTATTTTTTGGGTTTTTTCGCTCATAACTTTGTCTTAAGTGAAAAGAATCTTGTTTTTTTTTTTATGTAATAAAAGTTTTTGTTTTTTAGGAAATATATTTTTTTTTTACCCTCAACTCACAAATGCAGATAATTTTTCGTACTGTATGCAAACTTTGTTGCGCTACTGTATTTATAAAATTTTTTTCTTTACATTACCGCTTTCACTGTTCCTGTCATTCTTGTTAACATTGAAGTAAATTTGTGTTTAATTTTTGTTCATCATCATCAAGTCATACATACATTTAGTTTTCTTAAACGAAGAGCAAACAAAATAAGGGCCTCAACTTTACTTTACAGTGTTTGTTTAGTGTTGAAGGGCGGTTGCAACAAGCTGAATAAATTTGTGATTTTAATTAAAGAAGCAACATTCGTCATTCTCCGATCCACGCTGACTTGTAATAGGTATATATATATATATATATATATACATATATACATATATAAAAGATAAGACCTTTCTTCATTGCTATTACTTTATAAATTAGTAATAGTTTGTGTCTATTGGGTCGTTACGTAGCTTCGATTCCATTTTCGTTTGCTCCTTTTGAAATTATGACGCATTTTTCTTTTCACCTTTACCCACATCAAACTTACAGAATAAAGTTATTGCATACTATTTAAATATTTTATAACAATTTACGTTTGTTTACCAATAACATTACAATTAGTATATGCTACCGGTAAGATAGTTACAAATGATTTCGGAGGTCGACGAAAAAATAAAAAAAAAAAAATTCAACTCGACGACGAATGAAACGATTATAACAGTTGTGAAGTTAATGCTCTTAAGCCAAATTATTTTTTTGGCGCAAAACTGATCAATCAGACATTTAGGCTATTTATAGCTTCACCAGGATGGTACATAGTCAACTAAGAAGTTAACAAAGTGCATTCAGAAATTTATAATAAATTTTCTGATTTACATTTTAGAAATGCCCTAATCAAGCTCTCTCCACTCTTAATTATTCGATAAATGTTCCGTCTTTATTATACTGTACTGTATGCCGGATTTAACAGGAATAGTGTTAGCCATTGTCTTTTATGTTAACTATAAGATTTATTGCAGATAGCAATGCTCGTCTTGTCAACTCTATATATTAAGTTTAATACACACATACATACATATATACATATACATATATATATATATACATATACATACATATATACATATATATATATTATATATTATTAGGTATTTGTAAAAATTTTGATCATTTTTCCCCTTGAAAAAACCATTTGTTGAGAAAACTTCGATATTATGTCAAAAAAAGTTATATTAGTTTCGCAGCGACCCATTTCCATACTTCTTTAACTTCGCGAACCCCGCGTACTAGCCAAGCCATGCTGCAACGATTTGAACAATTGATAATCGGAAAGTGACGTCTCGGATGAGTACGCTGAGTGTGACAGAACTTCCGTTTCGAGCTGTAACAGTGTATCGTGGACAGCTCTTGCATTTTCAGTCAATTCGTGTCGCCATCTTTAAACCATCAAGCACGAAACTGACAATTGGGATATGATGAAGCAACATCACCATAAGCCGCTAAACGTACTTGGCAGGCTTCGAGAGCAGCTTTCTTCAAATATAGAACAACAAAGTAATACATTTGGAAGGAGGGAAATTTTGGGCGATTCTTGATTGCCGTCGCTGTACGTTGAATAAGTCAATAATATTAAGTGGAAAACCGTTATTTTAGGTAGAGGAAGGTCAAAACCGATCAAGTCAACCCTTATGTACATTGGTATTTCCCATTTTTTTTTTTTATCTTTTCTATCTGTACAAGTCATCGATCAAAATTTTTGCAAACACCCAATATATATATAAATAAAATATATATATATATATATATATATATATATATATTTTTGCTTACTTAGTAAACAAACAGGCATTAAATAAAAACTTTTGCTTGCAAAGATATTTAATATATTATCAAGATATTTTGCATTTGCATTTTCAATGAAGGCAGACCACTTATCTTTTCTGAATATTTGCTGAAAAGCTTTAATAAAATTAATTATTTTTTAATTCATGCAATTTTTTTTTTTCTTTTTTAATAAATAAATTCAGCAAATATTTATTGTTGTTCTCCTTCTCTTTTTATTATTACAGAATTTTCTGTGAAGAATATTTAAAGCGCCATCAACCAACACACAACACCTTTATTGAAATTTATGTTTGTTATGTAATTGAGTCCTTCAAAAAATAAGTGAAAAAATGGTAAGTCAATAGGTTAAGTAAAATGTTTTTTTTTAATTTTTTTTTTTTTTTTTTTTTTTACAAAAGAACAGATGACGTCTATCACTTTTTCCAATCGGTTGAAACTTTCTTGAATTCTTTTCGAAATACGGCTCAGTTAAAACGCTTTCTTTTTCTTAAATCTTTAGAGGGCAGTAGCGAACAGAATTGCTCGCATTAGCACATTAATTTTCTTCCTGAGAGTTCTATACTAACTATCTATACAAGGTTTCAAAAGTTTCAAGCTTAATGGAATCGTTTATACGTGTTCTTCTTTAGAGCGCTATCCACATATTGTTAGGCACAAGAACAAAAAACAAATACATAAAAGCAATGCTTTTGGAATAGTCTAGCGCCTTAGGTGCCGTTTATTCAACAATGGCTTTAAAATTGTCTGCAACAAAGAAAAACATAGTTTTGTCTTTGACTTGCATGCCATCGTCTTTGCCACCTAACTAATTACATAGTCAAAAGTGTTTATAGTTTATCTTCGACGGTATTAACATTGTATTTACATATATTGATTGTGTGTACAAATAAGTTCTGAGGGATTTATTCCCGTAACTTTGCCATTTTATTCAGACAAATTAGTCAGAATTTACTTTCATTTATTCGGAGTATTATATACGACTTTTCACTATATTTCCGGCAATTTTTGAATTCCATCTCGAAAAAAGTTTCGTCCCTTAGGGATATCCCTAAAAAAAAGTTGTATTCGGGCATTGTTATAAAAATCGAAGCACCGTTCGGGCAAACAATAAGTAATCTATCCTATTCCAGGTCAGATGAAAATTCGCATACGTCTGGCCCAAGAAATGATACTGAACTTCTACTACTGATGGGTACATCTGCCGGCTTGCCTTCTTCTTGATTAGCATTGGTTCAAATCGATGCAGTCACCTTTAACAGATCAGTGATTCACAGAATTTTTAACGCGTCCAAAGTGGCTCAATGGCTATTACACTTTTACCCTCAAGGCATCCCCAACTTACCCGATAAGAGTCAGAAGACCATAAACCATAGATAATCATAATTAACAAATGGATAGCATTTACATACGCACGCATCTCTTTTATTCATAGAAAAAAGTAAATTCTCTTTCATAATGCCAGCTAAACGCTATCTATCGAATATAAACTTGAAAATTTTTAATGCAAAATTATAAAAAAAAAAATGGAGAATTTAATTAACAATGTAAAAATTTATTGTAGTATAAGCATAACGGATAAATTGAAAAGATTCAAATCGAAAAATGAAAAGATGCTTTATTCCTTGGACCTTCAAATCAAATCTTAAACAATTAATGTCCAATTCTCATAAAGCTCCCTTGAACATTATAAAAAGTCGGAACATTTTTTAGGTTAAATTAAAATGAATTCAATTTGATTTCAATATGTAACCAAAATTGCTTTCACTTAATCCTTTACTTAAGTTCATACAATTCTATTATAATTTTCCTCTTCTCTTTGGATTTCTATGAAATTCACAGTTGATGATGGTTCCGTTAAAATATAAAAAAAAAAAAAAAAAAAAAAAAAAAACAAGAAAAAGTTTCAAAACTAAATAAACTCTCCGCAAAAAGGATAAATGAATGTGCCTTGTGCCAGTTTTGTGTTTAAGAAAGTGTTTCTATGCTTTTCGCATGTTAATTAATTTTTGCATACATAATAAATTTTTTATTTTCTTCTTCTTCTTTTTCCTTGCATATTTTAGAAGAAGCGAAAAACTTTACTATATTTCTCTAATTAAATGTCTTTTAGAGCTTCGACCCTTATTGTGTTTAAGCTTAAGTTATACATACATAATAGTGATGCATATATCTTTATATATATATATATATATATATATATATATATAGAAAACTTGTTTAAAAAGCCATATTCAACAGTGTTATTTATCAACATCATTGCCGCATTGCCAAAAATGATCAACTAACTTTTCCTTTAATATTAAAGACGGTAATGGATTAAAAATTATCAAAAGAAAAACTATATCTATATGAAATCCAATCTTTCGCAGAGAATTTCGAATGCATCAACAATTGGGTTGCAAGCGATTTTTTAAAATATTTTCCAAAGAAACTTTAGAGTCAATATAGGTATGTAGGTATGATAAAATTTAGATCGTCTAAAAAAGATGCTTTGAAAAGTGTAGAAATTATCGCCTCCGAAAACGTAGTTTATTTGAAGACTCTTCGTGTAACTACAATACGGTTCCAGAACACATACGTGTAGGCATGAATTATCCAAAGAAGAAGAAAATAAAAAAATATGTGAATGTCTTCAGTTTACTTTAAGTTAGTTTCCCGATTACGCCAAATGGCATCACTTTTGTCAACAACAAATAACTGATAGATAGCAAGAAAACTTTATCAATAATGATTTTGCAATTTTTTCTTCTTCTTGTTACGAACATATTATCTTTTAGGCCATCGTCATTGTATAAAAAATATGGTTTTTAAAATTTCTAAAAATAACGAAAATTCACTTATTCGTTATACAAGGAAATTACTTCCTGAGTGAGTGCAAAGTCGTGAGACCTACTTGATAGCAATGGCAATAATTTCCAATACTCGAATGGTTTTATAAAACACAAAATAAATAACAATTTAAGAGAGATCAATAATTGATGAATTGTTTTCATGCTGCAATTAACGGATCGGCTTTATCTATTACTGATATAAGCAAGCAAAAATAGCTTAGGAAAGCCTGGCCCATCATTAAAGATCCCTTACGATTTCGCTTTATATAGTTCATTCATAAAATGACTTTTCGAAATAATAGGTTGCATGCGAAGTGGTCGAAAGAGCCTTAATAAAATCCGAATCACATTCAACAGCCTTCGCCCTTGAGCTCAAAAATATATATATCGGTTTATCAAATTTCGGCAAAATAACGCACACAACAGTACAAGATGAACAGAGGAACAGACAAGTGATTTGCGGAATCGATCGGCATGGTTGCTTCATACATTCATACCAGAGTTGGAAAAACCGCTGGTGAAGAATTAGGTCGGATGCAATATATAAAGTGAATATTTAATTATACATTTCTTGATTCCTACCTGCTGCCGGTATCTGGATTTATCCATTCTATCCCTTTCCTTAGCGGAAAACTTTGTTCGATAAAATAAATTTTTGTACAAACATCAATCCGATTCGAAATAGTTTGATTATTAAGATGCATCGAATAATCGGGGAAAGAAAGCTTCATTGACGTGCTTCGGGATTTGTTTCGGCAATTCGGAAAATGATGATATCATTTAATGATTGATATTTTTGTAAAATATCGAAATCGAAATCGAAATTTGTCGCCTAGTGTTACATAACAGTTAGTTATTGTGTAATTATTTCATGATGACTTCTAGAATTTCCCGATGAAACTTTAGAGATTTACTTGGGTGACACTGATTCTGTGGTTTGCAATTTCATGTTGCGAAATGCGGATCTTAATGGCCAGCAACTAACTATTATATCATATTTCATACTTTAAAGGGCAAATTATTATCCTTTTTATTTTTTTGCTCAAACTAGTTAGCAGGCAATGACTTAATAAATACGTTTACGGCAGCTTCAACAAATGACCTTCCATTTACAGTCTGCAGACTTTTCATCGCCCAGGTACTTAAGCTATAAAACGATCTTAATAAAATGGAATGCAAGCGTTTGATTTCGCCTCTTTTTAAAAAAGTTTTCACTTTTTTTTCCCTTTTTACACCTTTCTACGTATATGCAAGTACGAATTTTTAAGACTAGCACAAAAAAAACCAAAAAAAAAGAACGAAAAAAAAAAAGAAAACCTCCATCAAACATTTATTAACAATTTTTAACACATGTACGCTCAGCATTAGCGACGAGGAGTTTGTTCATTCCTAGTTTCGGCCAGCAATAACCAGCAGCTATGGCAGCAAAATATGCTGTTGCCGTATGAGTGTTGCTATTAGTGCTTGTATGTGTGAAATTTTCAAATTTTTGTTTATTTTTTCTTTGTTTTCTCCCTTTTTTTTTCTTTTTGTTATTCTCTCTTTTTTGTTAACAGTAGAAATAAAAAAAAAAATAGCAGTGAGTAAAAAATGTGCAGATTTTTATTTTTATTTTTTTTTTTTTTGTATTTTATATCGGCCATGTGTGTGAGTTGTGTTAGAGTATATTAAAAATGCCTGCCGCTGCTTAATGATTTTATGCACTTGTTGTTGTTATTATCGTTTTTTGTTGTTGTTGTTGTTGTTTTTATTGTTAGCTAGGGAATGATTTTGCTGTTGTTTTACTACATGTAATATCACTGTTGCTAGTTAGCTTGGCAGCAACAAAGGCAATAGCACTACCAGCAACAGCATGTGTAAATGACGTAAAGAGTTATGCCGGCAGCTTTGGCATCAGTTACATATACAGCGCATACGTGTGTAGTAACAATTAAAAAAAAAAAAGGCAGATGTTGTTGTTATTTTGCCTGCATACATTTTGCACAACTAGTGTTTTTTTTGTTTTTTTTTTTTTTTTTTTTAGTTTTTTGCTATGCTTTTATTATTTACTAAACTTATTTTTCTTATTAAATCATGAGCACTCGCTGCAAAGGGTGTACACTTGTACAAGAGAAATAATAAAAATTTTTTTTTTTTTTTTTTTAATATTTTTATGAATGCCTCTGTGTATGCGCGCGTGTGTGTGTGTGTGTGTGTGTGTGTGTGCGTGTGTGTGTGTGTATAATCAATGAACTTGAACAAGTTAAAAAGAAAAATAAAAAGAAAGCAAAACATAATAATAATTTATCCGATTAATAATATTAGGCTTTTTAAGTAATTTTTTATTACTTTCTATTTTCATTCTTTCTTTAATTGCACGACCGTCACAACAAAACCTAAAAGTATACTAATGTTATTGTTGTGCCTGTAACACAAAGAAAAAAAAAACAGTATCCGCGCGGCTACTATATCAAAAATTCAAAAATCTATCCTTAAAGCCTATCGAAGAGGGCGTTATTCGT